CGTGCGGGGCGCTGCTGCCGCCCGTTGGGGTGGTTACTCGCCGTTTGGAAGGGCCCATCTGTGGGTGTGTTGGGGCAGGGCCTGGGGGGAGCCGCGCGTGCGGACTCCGGGCCCGGCAGGCTCCAGGTGGGGAAGGGGTGTAAGTTTGTACTGGGCATGCGACCCGGTGTCCTCTGCTTAGCTCCTGGCTGAGGCTCCCTTCTTAGATCACTGTCTGCATCCACCTGGGACCCAAAAGGAATGACTGTTTTAACTCAGTGTTTATTTCACTGTCTCTGGATTAGGGGTGGGCAGTAAGTTTTGTTGGGAGGGGGCCAGTCCAAGAATTGGGTAGATGGTCAAGGGCTACACTTTTCCATGATATTAATGGAGGTGGGGTGCAGCAGAGAGCTCAGAGGTAGGAGAGTTTGGGTGCAGGATGGAGTGTGAGGTCTGAGAGGGAGCTGTGAACAGGGGCAGGGATGCAGAAGGAAGTGTAAAGGGTTTGGGTTGTGACTAGTATTTCCTGTAATTTTTCCATCTATGTGTAGAATAAATGTTGTGTGCTCTAGGGTATGTGTACTATTCTCTACTAATCAGCTGGGTGGCATTTGACTCTGTCCTGGTTGGCTTCCCAAGCACTCATAGGGTACACTGCTTGTGACCTAGGGCAAGGCATTAGTGAGTAGGAGAGGATTCTAACCTGGAGAACAGTGTGTGTGTGGGGTGCAGCATCTGGGATGGACTTGTGATCTGGGGCAGGGAGTTGGGGTGTGGAATGGGGTGGGGTGCCAGGTGGAGGTTCTGGCCGGGAGGCGCTTAGTCTAGGTGGGTACCAGCTAGCAGTCCAGTGGAATCTATGGGTAGGCTCCATGGAGGTCGTGCTCCCATATGCCATTCAAAGTGGCTGGTTGCTGGGGCAATGTGCATCTCTGCACAGTGTGTGCTATGGGGTAAGAGGGCCTCTGGGCACTTCCTGCACTGCAAGCATGGCCCAGGCAGCTCTCATTGGCTGGTTCCCACCAGTGGGAGTGGTGAGATTATGTTGAGGGCAGAAGGTAAAACCACCTTTCCCCCAACGAGCACACATCATGCATCCTTGGTCACCAACCAGTAGATCATGATCTACCGGTAGATCTCAGGGGCTCTAAGAGTAGCTCTTGAGCCCTCTCTGAACTGTGCGCCTGCGCAGTACATTTACATTAGATTTCCTCATTTGAGGAGCAGCTACTCACCAAGCAACACCATAGGTGAGTAGCTGTGAGGAAGGGTGGGAGGTCGGGAGGGCTGAAACACCCCAGCCAGCTGACTGTGGCTTTCAGCTGAAAGAGGCTGCCCCGCGCTCCAGCTCATCGGTGGCTTCTCCTCTGCGCCTGTCCACATAGGGCTTGGTGCACCCTGGCTGAGCGCCATGGCCAGCTGGCCGGGCAGCTGCTTCTCTTCCCTCCAGCCCGGCTGCCCTGCGCTCAGCCCAGGGAGGCTGCGTCAGGCTCCAGCTGTGCTGGAGCAAGCTTCCCGGGCTGAGCGTAGGACAGCCGGGCTGGAGGGAAGAGAAGCAGCTTCCTGGCCAGCTGGCCATGGCGCTCAGCCAGGGTGCACCAAGCTCCACGTGGGCAGGCACAGAGGGGAAGCCGCCCGATCAGCTGGAGCATGGTTCAGCCTCCTCCGGGCTCCACAGCCAGTTGGCCAGGCAGCTTCTCCTCTGCGCCAGCCCATGTGGAGCGTGGTGCACCCTCGCTGAGCTTCAGGGAAGGGGCGGGGCTTCAAGGAAGGGGCGGGGCAGTCGATCTTGGCTTGGTCTGTCATTTAAAAAGTGATCTTGGGTGTAAAAAGGTTGGAGACCACTGTCATACATGCTGGCTTTAGCAGTCAGCTGCTTTGAGTGGGGGGAACCTACCCAAAGGTCCTGCTGGGTTGAGGGATACTTGTGGTGCAGTATGGTGACAGGCTGCATTCAAAAGTTTTTAGGGGGCTAGAGTGGCCCGTGGGCTATATTTTGCCTGCCCCTGCTATATATGAATACTTATTTTTTTGACTGAGGGCGCTATTTTAATGTTTCAGAGGGATAGCCGAGTTAGTCTGTAACAGGAAAAATGTAAACAACAAAAAGTCTAGTAGCAACTTACCATCTATATGTTTTGTTAGTGTTTAAGTTGCTACTAGACTTTTTGTTGTTTACGTTTTTCCTGTTTTAATGTGAAAGTAAAAATCAAGTTAAATAGGATACTTAATCCAAATTAAGGGTGTCAGTGAATAGATTTTTACAGAAGTAACTAAAGAGGTGAATTAAACTGGAACAAAAATAAAGCTGTGTTTTGCATGCGTTTAGTCTCTCTTCCTGCCCATTACCCATTTTATCTCTTGATCATATGATCTTGCTTAGACATGCTCTATGTAATTTGCACTTTTAAACTAAAGGTAGATTCTCAGTGAGTGAATAGAACTGAATCTGCAAACTGTGCTTGCTACTGGTACAATAAAACCAGTGCTCCGAAGTAAAACAAGCTGTACAGCAAAACTGCATATTTACTGGTATCTGTCTACATTAGGGCTGTGTCTAGACTGGCAAGTTTTTCCGCAAAAGCAAATGCTTTTACGGAAAAACTTGCCAGCTGTCTACACTGGCCGCTTGAATTTCCGCAAGAACACTGACCTCCTACTATCTGAAATCAGTGCTTTTTGCGGAAATGCTATGCTGCTCCCATTCGGGCAAAAGCCCTCTTGCGCAAATGCTTTTGCGCAAGAGGGCCAGTGTAGACAACGCAGTATTGTTTTGCATAAAAAAGCCCCGATCGCGAAAATGGCGATCGGGGCTTTTTTGCGGAAAAGCGCATCTAGATTGGCCACGGACGCTTTTCTGCAAAAAGTGCTTTTAACGGAAAACTTTTCTGTTAAAAGCATTTCTGGAAAATCATGTCAGTCTAGACGTAGCCTAGGGGTTTCTGCTGAAAAAGCTATGGTAGTCAGGCTCTTTATGCTGCTGATATAGCTATACTGGCACAAATCCCATAGGGCCTGAGTCTCCTGAGGCTTCAGAGGTCAATCTTCTAGTGTTTGATTTAGCAGGTCTAGTAAAGACCCCTAAATTGAACGGGGAGAGCAGCCCCCGCAGGTATCCAATACGCCTCCTCCTGTGAGGAGTAAGGGAAGCCGATGGAAACGTTGGCTTCTGTTGGTCTCCCGCTGTGTGAGGATGCCACCATTAAGGATGGTGAATTGTGGTTAATTGACTAGTCGATGGAATTTCCATTGACTACTCAACTAGTAGATAGGCACTTCCACATTTGTCCTTTGAAATGTACAAGAGCTCCAGCTGGGGCTCTTGTACATTTCAAAGGAGGAATGCGGAACTTTGCATGCAGGCTGGGCCAGTGGGAAGTCCCGCTGACTCTGGGCTGCACTGGGGTGTGCCTGCTTTGAAATGTACAAGACTCCCCAGCTGACCCCGGGTTCTGCTGAAATGCCGCTGGTTTCAAAGGGGCAACTGCCTCAAAGCTGATCCTGGGCTCAGCTGTGCGGCGGCTGCCCCTTTGAAACGCTGCCTTCGTGTTTCAAAGGAGCAGCGCCATGGAGCCTGGGGTCAGCTGGGATCTTCTCAGCTGACCCCCGGTTCTGTGCGGCATTTCCCCAGAACCTGGGTCAGCTGTGCGGTGCTGCCCCTTTAAAATGGCTGCATTGGTGTTTCAAAGGGACAGCACCGTGGAGCCTGGGGTCAGCTGGAGACTCCCCAGCTGATCCCGGGATCCATGTGGCATTTTAAAGGGGCAACGCCGCACAGCTGAGTTGTGGGGCTACTGCCCCTTTGAAATGTTTTGGGATTTCAAAACAGCAGTGCCGCGCAGTTGATCCCTAGCTCAGCTGTGCAGCGCTGCCACTTTGAAATACCGCTTCTCTTCCCCGCCCCCTTACCGCCTCTGTTTGATAGAGGCAGCAAGGTGGGGGCGGAATCGACTAGTTGACTGACTGACCGATAAGCATTTTCTTTTATCAGATAGTCAGCTAGTCCTTAACATCCTTAGCCACCATGGCTCGGCTTAAGGTAAGCCGACTCCAGCTATGCATTTTGTGTAGCTGGAGTTGTTTACTTTAAACTGAGCTGCCTGGTCTAGTATAGACCAGGACTATTTTTTTTATTTTTTTTGCTATTCACAGATAGATATGGCATGAAGAAAGTGTAATTTTGTGCTTCATATAATGTAAGAGCTTTATCCATACATAGTGATGTCCTTTTTAGTCTAACAATTTTGGATGCACCACCTACTACAATCCAGTTGTTTAACAAGATTATTTTTTCCCTCTGGAAACAATGGGATGTCTGAGGAGTTTGCAGGATAATATAGCAATACTGAAAATAGTAAACAGAAGACACTTGAAGGACATGTACAGTCTTTTATTTTAGTAGCTTTAAGGTAAATTAAGCACTCAAATCTAACTTTATTCAGAAAGTGTGTTCGGATGGCTTATGTGCTATTATCTTGAAGCTTTGGCAATTTGCTGAGAAACTAATTTTAAACAATTGAAGAAAGCTTCTTCTGCCTTGATATGGGGATCGAGATGATTTGCAGCAAGAGAATGGAACATAGTGTTAACACACACAAATTTTGAAGTTACATGCCTACAGATACTGCATAGTATAGTCATAAGGTTATTATCAAAAGACAAGTGGTAGTATTAGCATGCACAGTGCTTGATGGATGAATAGAAGATGCTTGTTTGAGTTCACCAGTAATGGAAACAGGAACACTTACCCAGCCATTAAAGACAAATAATCCATTTTCTCTTGTCTATTAAAAATCATTAGCATCACTGAGCCACACTTATGTACTAAAGATGACCCCAATGGATTGTAGCTTAGGTCTTTTGTAGACTTTGCTTAGGGCACCTCTGTACTGGCATCAATGCATTACTAGAGTCAGGGATGTAAATGTCCCTCAAAATAGTTAATTGGTTAGATGAAGAAAATTGTATTGTTTAACCAATTAACTGTTGGGGGCAGGGCAGACAGGATGGAAGGACTTACTGGGACAGTTGACAGGCATGGTGGTGCGGTATGGCTCTGGGGCTGCTGTGGTCTGGCCAGTGCTGGGGTCCTGCCTGACCACAGTGTGACCCCCTTCTCCAAAGCCTTTCACCTGCTCACTCCATCCCTCCCCCATTCTCTCTCACTTTCACCATACTGGGGCAGAGGCTTGGGGTACAGGCTCTGGTCTTGGATCAAGGGATTTGGAGTGAGAGGGGCTCTGAGCTGAGCTTGGGGCAGGCAATAGGATGCCAGAGGGGGTTCTAGGTGTAGGCTCTGGGACGGTGTTTGGATGCAGGGGTGCTTGGGGCCAGGGCAGGGGCCTGTGTGTATGAGGGGGTTCATGACTGGGTTAGTGTTTCAGAATGTGGGCTCCAACTGGGCACTGCTTACCTCAGGTGGCTCCTGGGTGGTGGTGCAGTGAGGCTAAGGTAGGCTCACCCCTGCCCTAGCCCTGTACCACTCACAAAAGCAGTCAGCAAACTTAGTCATGTTGTGTCCCCTTTCTGCTCTATGGAGATAGGATATACAGTGGGAGAGGGGGCACCTTGACATCAGCACTCCTGCTCTCCCTCCCCTGCCCTGCACTGCACAGCAATCAGGAAGCTCCTAGGGGTGGGTGGAGGCAGCTCCAAGGCAAAGGGCAAGAGGTGCACAGTAGTAGTGGGAGGGGCAGCTGAAGTGCCCGCACTTGATAGCCTCTTGGCCAAACCAGTCAGGATCACCTGTCAGAGGCTCCAAGATTTACCAGTAGATCCTGTTCTACTGGTTGGTGACCACTGCATTAACAGGTCATTAACTATTCCAACATAACTTTACATTTAAACTAAAAGGATATAACTAACTTAAACTCACACCTATGAGGACTGATATTTAAAAGTGAAAATGAAATGTCTTCCTCCTAATTAGTTTGTAGTAGAAGTGAATATATTATGGCTGAACCCAAAGGTCCCAGGCAGCATTGTAATAAGTTTTTTGTGTAGGTGGATTTTTCACATATCAACAAGACTGTAAAATTGGTGATAGTGATTCAGAGGAAGATGCAGTGCTTGAAACTACTTCAGTCATTGTTTGAGGTTGACAGCATGCCTTTAGATTTTAGAACTATCCAATTACAGTAAAAATTCATAACTTGTAAATTACCATTATTACCCTTGTGGCAAGATAGCTAAGTACCACTAATAGGCTACGTCTACATTGGCATGATTTTGCACAAGAATTCTTTTGCGGAAGAGTTCTTGTGCAAAAACTCTTCCAGAAGAGAGTGTCTACACTGGCATATGCCTTTGTGCAAGAGATGTGCTTTTGCGCAAGAGCATCCGTGCCAGTGTAGATGCTCTCTTGCGCAAGAAAGCTCTAATAGCCATTTTAACCATAGGGCTTTCTTGTGCAAGAAATTCATGTTGCCTGTCTACACTGGCCTCTTGCGCAAGAGCAGTTGCGCAAGAGGGCTTATTCCTGAGCAGGAGCATCATAGTTCTTGCGCAAGAAGCACTGATTTCATACATTAAGATGTCAGTGTTCTTGCGCAAGAACTAGTGGCCAGTGTAGACAGGCAGCAAGTTTTGGCACAAAAGCGGCCACTTTTGTGCAAGATCATGCCAATGTAGACACAGCCATAGAGTGGTACTAATTATTTAGGTCTCAACCCTTTATGGAGGTACACATGGGGAGATCCTTATGGAAATAGTCCCCTTTACTTCAGTCCAAAAACATCATCTTAAAGAGTCAACATCTTAATTGTAATTGAAATCTAACAAGTTTAAGTTTTCATTAAAGTAAAACTTCTAAAACAAGAATACCATTCAAACCCTGAGAAATAAATTACAGGCTTTATCAGAAAAAAAAAGGCTAATTCTTACTTAACAAATCACATGTTCTATTTTGTCTTCTGACTCCTCCTCACAAAGGAGACAAAGTAGTATACTTTCATATCAAACTTATCTAGAATAAGTCTCTTAGTGGCTCTACAAGCTTGTGAAAATATGCAGAAATATTAACAGCATGACCAATACTTAAAAATCAAAACTAACATTACTCACAGTTCATAAGAAAATACTATTGGTCTTAGTACTCATTGGAAACTAAGGTGAACTCTAGAGGGGGTAAATTAGACAGTGGTGTTACCTGGGTAGAATATAGTCAAAGGCCACACCCTCCACCTGCTATAAATTCAGACCAAATGATTCTATGCTGCTCCTATAATGGTTGCCATTACAATGGATGCAATACCTGGAGTTAATGATGTTAAACAGGTATAACAAACTAGATGATTCTTTTTTAAAGTAAATAGTCAGAAATACTAAGGGCTTTTAAAAGATGCTGGGTCTATGTTTTTAAGAAAGCTATGTGCTCATACAAGATATTCCTAAGGTTCAAACCTTTTATTTCTGCAGGTAGAACACTTTTTTGGTTCTTATAGTGGTAGGAAATATCGTCAGTATGTTATCCCTTTGAGATCTGTGGGTTGATTAACATTGTTGAACTTGAGAAAAATGATCAGATACTTGCTTGCTGGAGAGCTATACCAAACACTTTGCTAATGCTAAAGCCATGGTGAAATGACCAATTTCCCCCAGATTGTGAAAAGGTGGAGGGTGCTATTGTTCAATATCCTGAAGTTATTCATGAGTTTTGCTGAGGAGTTTCATCTGTTAGGTTCTATCCTACAGATAGGTTATTCATTTGATCTATAAAAGACTCTGGGTTATACTTGTCAGAGTTTACTGAATATTTTTGGTGCTACTTGCAACTGTTTGTTAATCCTCTGTCCTGTTAATGATGTGACTCTTTGTTATACATTGCAATATAATGGCTGGCAGAGGTATTCCACTAAGGGAAAAGTGGGCGCTTGAAATGATCGGTAGTGGAAAGGAAAGCTGCTGCCATGGGTGCCTCAACTGAACAAAGGTTGCTCTGCATCTGCAAGTCCTATAAACAGGAATACATTCAGTTCTTCAGGTATTAAAACGAACTTCTAGATCAGTGAATAGCAGAAGAGTTGCTGAGAGAGTAATTTGCTTTTTAAAAAAAAATTATCTTGCTCTTTTGTGGAGGGAAAGGTCGAAGTATTGTATGTTGCCTTTTTA